CCACAGCTTGCAGCCGAGACGCCTTGGTTCAAGATTTAGGGTTTTTGGTTTAGGGCTTAGGGTTTAGTGATTTTGGTTTGGGGTTTGGGGTTTTGGTTTGGTGTTTGTGGCGCTTTCTGGAAAATTCTCTAACACCCGAAACCTACAAACATAAAGCCCTAAAACAACAGAAAACCTTGCAACTCACAAAGCCCAAAACCCCGGTCAACCGTAAACACCAAAACCCCAACATCCGAAAGAGCTGCATGTGGTAGTAGAAGGAGATGTTGGTGGCAGCGCTCAATCCAAGCACCCCCGACTCCAGGACAAACTCCTTTCTGGGGTTTTGGGAATTTGGAGCAGGGTTGGGCATGCGGTTGATGATATAAATCCTGCGGTACCCATAATAAGGGAATATACCATAATTCCTATAGTTTCGGGCCCGTAAGGTAGTGCAGGATTTATACCATCAACAGTCCTTTGGCGGTATAAAGGCCATACGGGCTTTAGTGCTAAGGGTACGGGTTTCACAAACTGCTTAGGTGGAAACTGGGCACGAGGAACAACTCGTGGTGAAGTTCATAAGGACCTGGAATTTCTTGGTGGTCTTCAAGGCTGTTGTGACCTTGCGGGATGTCTGGCGCATTTTGAGTTTCTAGGGTGCTGGATGTATGCAGGTCTTGCAACATCGGGTTGCAGCGCCTATGTTGCGGGGGCTTTAACCATTGTTTATGGAGGCTAATGGTAACCTCATGTTAATCAACCCCTGCTCAATTGTAAAACTCGATCCCGGGAACTCAATAATCTCGCCCGCCCCTGGTTCTCAAAAGAACACTTGAGGCCCTTTGTCATCCCTCCCAGAGTCGCAGAGAGAGTCAGCGAGCGTAATGTCACTCCCCCCTGCCTGGGCCTGAAAACAATCGAGGGNNGGGGGGGGGGGGGGGGGCCGGGGAGGAAAATAAAGTGATAGTCAAGGCTCTATTGGAAAAACGGCGCAATCTTCCCCGCTCACAGGCTCTTCCCTACGAGAAAACTACCCAAGTTCATGGGAAAGTCTGGGAGATTCAGCGAAAAGCGGAGAGCAGAAATGCAAAACACCAGGATCCTTACTGAAAGCGGCCCCCAACTAAGGGTCTCCATAGACCTCACAAGACCCATTAAACTTCATTAAACATACAACATCATCGCACCCGATGGAAACCCTTAAAAAAAGCCTGTGGGTCTACCGCAAGACAGGCGCAAGACGTAGGGCATTGTAGGGTAAGCATGTAGAGTTTTAGGTTCAGGGCATTGGGGCTTGGGGCCTCAAGTCTAAACCCTGAACCCTAGAACCTTCAACCCCTAGGCCATAAAACTCCGAACCTAAACCTCCTACGCGTTTTAAGGCGC